AAAAAAAAAAAAATGTTTAAATTATTATTATTCTATAAGTAATTGAGTGGGTTATGATAAAAAAATCACCCTGTATATATATATATATTTACGTGTTGTTATATTATATGTATATTGAAACATTAAATGTAATGTCATATGTTATATTAAATATTTATAGTTAATCAGTTTTTAAAATAATGAATTAACTTGTGTTGGTGATCACATATAAAGCATGCATATTACAATGAACACCAGTGAACTAATAATAAACTAACTGAACAAAACTTATTAAATTGGAAACAAAATTTTGGAATTACCTATTAGCTATAGAGAAAACATTAAAGAGACATGATATCAAAATACTAATATACTAACTAACTAATATACTTACTATTGATAATTATGTTACTGAACAGAAAATAAAAGTTACTAGCTCTGGATATAGTGAATTAACAGAATCAATTATGAGATGCTTAATAGGTCTCTGATTTATCAAGGTACTGAATGTTATTTTACATTAAAATTTACCTTGATAAATTGATCACTTATGGCTGATATTATTTAATATAGTTTTAATGCTAAATATTACAAGAAATTTTAATTAGTGTGTCTGAAATTTCAATATATATATAAAGTGGTCCCAAAAAATTAAATGCACTGAAAATATTCCTGAACAATGGTTTAAATAAATAATGAGAAAAAAGATAGTTTTGTAGTAAACCAAACAAACAAAAGTTTTAACAAAATATTAACTAAAAGTTGCTATTTAAAATACTGCAAAGATAAATTAAAAGTAACAATAATAATAATAACATCAAAAAGTGTTGCTCTAACAGATTGTTCGAAAAGTTTATAATAAAAAAAAAATGAATTTATAACCATAAAAAATATGGTATTGTTAGGATTAATATGCACTCAAGAAATTTTATAAATAATATTTACAGTAAATTTATTAGTAAAGCTCGAATTTTTTGCATTTTTATCGTAACAGATCATTTAAATAGAAGTCATAGTAATCATTTCTAATTAACTTTTGGTGTTTAAAAAGATTCTACAATTGAAATATGCAGAACTGAATTAATTTTAATGATTTACTTTAACTAAAAAAACCAATGAAAAAAAAGTTGTTAAAAAGCTATACTCAATTAAATGAGTTATAAATTTTGATTATAATTGTAAAAATCCATTGTTAAATTCTGGTGAAACTAAAAATTATTGTTTTTAAAAGTGATTTATATAGCAACATGTTACCAAAAAATTTGAAATATTAACAGTCTATAACATTCCAAAAATTTGTAATGTTATAGACTACTAGTAACATACACAAATAGAGTTAAAAAATAAATAAATTGCAAAGTAAAATTATTTACTTTTGTAGTTTAATACTTTGATTTGATTAAGAGATTTTTTTTCAATATTTGAGGGTAATATCTTCAACTAAATACGAATTATAATCATTTAACATATCGTTGAAAAAAGTAGGTTAATTGAGGATTGGAAAAATAAATTGCAGCCATAAAAAAAACACATTGTAAAATAATATTAATATTAATAAGAAATAGATAATAAGAAATTTCTTCTCATGAGGGGAAACTGTAGTGATGGGATCCTTAATATTTATTGAAGTGAATGTGTTAGTGAAATGTGAATTGAAGTATTTAATGAATCTAAATGAGATAAAAATCAAATGATTTGAACATTTTTCTAACTTAAAAAAAATGCAAAATATTAATTGCCACAGGCAAATTCAAACCTCGTACCCAACCGTGAAAGACACAAGTGTTACCAATTTGACAACTGTTCGTCGCTTTCGTCGATAATAAAATTAGCAATTTAAGCTAATTCAAATTTTAAAGTTACTTTTTCAACTTTAAAAAAGCAAAAAAATTTAAATAAGTTTAACTATTTATGTCTTATGAACTTTATTCTAAATAATAATATAAGCTTTAATTTAAAATTAAATAAGTGTCAATATTTCCGGAATATTTTCAAAAAATAACATTGAAAAAGTTTAACTTGTGTGCAAAAATTGTTAGATTAAATAGGTTTAGAGTCAGATTTTCAAAAAAATTATTTTAATTTTTTCATTTTTCAAAAAGTTATGGCAGTTTTAAGTATTAAAATATTTCATGTTAAACAGTGATTTTTACATAAAAATTATAAGTTTCGTTAAATTCAACAGCTATTTTTCTATAGAAGAAAAGGTGTCGGGACAATTTTTTTTTTTTGAACTTATAGTATTTATTGTAAGCTTTAATTTGACATATGTTTAAAGAATGCAGTATTTCCGGAACATTTTCAAAAGTTGAAAAAGTTCTACTTTTTATACGTATTTTTCAAGTTTTGAAAGCCCACTGTATAAAGGAAAATTGTCCTATTTAAATAAAAAGTATGTTAAATTAAAGAGGTATATATATAATGTATTTAGAAAAAAAAAATTTGTGTTGATACATATATTATTCAAAAAGTTATAGCAATTTAAAGTTGACAATTTAAAATCGAAAATTTTAACACAAAAATAGCATTCTTTTTAAACTAAGGCAACCATTTTTACATAGAAATTTCACATAAATATACCAATTTTAAAAATTGTAATTTATTTGGATATCCCCCCATTTACGAGAACGAGAAATTTTTTTCCTTTTTGAAGGGTAATGATTTCAACTAGATACGATTTCTGATCTTTTGACAAATTGTTCATCAAAATCGGTCAGTGAGAGCCGAGTAAAAATGGCAACAGACAAAAAAAAAAAAACACATTGTGGTAAAATTAATACCTTTTCAGCTTCGCATCAAAGCTAAAAATGTACAATTTTGTTCTTATAATTTTTTTATCCATTCAACTTAAAAAAATGACTGGTCAATAACAACTTTTGGACAAATACTTCAATAGTTACTCTCATTTTCATACTTTGGCGAGAGGTAGAGTACAGCCAGGAAATGAATAGTGATAAAAAATGCTGTACTCAGTCCTGACCTTCAGTCATTAATTTAATTTGTTAATAACTTCTGAAGTACTGGTTCAAAAATTGTTATTGACCAGTCATTTGCTGAATTATCTCAATTTCTATTTTATAAGCTAGTGTACCTAGCAAGTAGGTTGCCTTTAAAAAAAATATAATTGATATCCCTATGTTATAAGGGATGGACCTACAAATTGTATTATAACAGATAAATGGAAATACATATGTAACTAACAAAATTAAAATTTCAAAAATCTTATTATTTAAGAAAAATTGAGTGGCTAGCGTTAAAAGAATCATTCTGTACATAATATACTTAACAAAATAAAAGCTAACGTATAATATAAGCACTATGTTTCTCTAAAGAAAAATACAAACATTATCCTAACATTTTTACACTTGCTTATTTCATAATAAAAATTTTAATTAAAACTTACCGCAGGATGATTTTCGCCTAAGGTTTTTTCTCGGATAGCTAATGCATCATTTAATAAATTGGCTGCATCTTTATACTTATTTTGATCTCTTAAAAATAACAAAAAATTCAATTACACTTTTCATATTGTCAAAATATTAATAAAATTCTAGAGATATCCAAAAATACATTAAGTAGATGGAATATTCAAAGGCATACTTTTTCTAACTTAGTTCTGCTATTCATTTGAACATATAAATCTATATAATTAGCTTACTTTTTACAACAATATAAATATTTGACAATAAAAATTGTTCCTTTAACATGATAAAAATGTGTGAAGAAATAATTAGATTTTTCAGTTACTTTATTATATTCAGATGAAAGTAATGGCTAATATGGGTATATTTCAATAAAATTATGTATAATTTATCATTTTTAGCAATATTATATTATCAAGGACTATAGTTTTCTGACTTTAACTTTATTCAGATTACATGGGTGTAGTTTGAAAACAAATTCTATAAGGGTTTTAGTCACGTGCTTTAATATATAAGTCTGAAAAGAGAGCAATTCCATTACATTACCTTGTCCCACCCTAAAAGTACAAAGTTTATTTTTGGAGATACAAAAACGTCCATAGAGGCTGTAATCTCTCCAGCCCTGATACAATCGACTCCTATACTAAAAGATAATCTTAAACTAGGAATAGAAATAACTTTATGTCCTAACTTTGCTTAAAACAAACCAAAGAAATTTTTTATTTATTCTGATATCTACCTGTAAACAAGTGCTAAAATATTTAACATTGTAGCAACATCCGGGTGATCATGACCAGATGTTTTTTCTAGATCTTCTAAAGCTTGTTTGCACAAAGGTACAGCAACTTCATATCTGCCTTGAGATGCATATTGTATTACTAAGTTATGTAATGTTCTTAAACGAGCAGGAATTTCATAACCTGCTCCAGCGTTAACTTGCTGTGCAAATTGTGAAGGTGGTGTTGGTGACAATGCTTGAATTTAATTATTAAAAAATAAAATAAGAATAAGAAACTAAGGAAAACAAATCAAAATGAACTTAAAATAATAATAGTAACATAATGTTTAATAGTGAAAAAATGATAATAAAATAAGAGAATAAATTAGAAAGAAATTTTTTCAAGTTATTATTTAATATTTAACTTTATAAAATTATATATATATATATATATTTAATAACACATTATCATTTATCATTAACAAAGTTTGGTGAATTTTAGGAGGATAAATCCTCTCAAAACTCACCAAGAATTCACAATGAATATATTTGAAAAATAACTGATTTTATAATTTTTGAATAGTACACTTTAGCTACTTGCAAAAGACTAACAATGCATTCATTAATTTCATTCAATGTTGCTTTCTAACAATTTAAGCGCTGTTTCTATCATTTTTTTTTGTAGTAATATTAGCCTTAATTTTTGCAGGTTTAGAATCATTAAATAGATAGTCATTGTTCTTTTCAATGTGCTATAGTCACCAGGGATTGATGGTTGGTTATCGAAAGTGTATCAGAAATCATGTGAAAAAAAGGCACCATACTAAAACCTACGACCCAAAAGTTAGTAGTAGAGACTAACCAATATACCACCTAGCACTTTTAATTCACATTCTAGTACACTTCCATGAAAGTTGATATACATCATAACAATATATTTAAGGGGGTAGGAGAAAAAATGTTTTAACTTTGTGCATGATAAGAATAACTGCTTATACGTGTAACTATTTAACAATGGCATGACAATTATTATTTTTACTCCCAGTGTAATAATAATGATTAAACTTTAAATTACTGTTTCTTTCTTCATTGTCATCATCTGGAAATAAATCTACCACTGGATCATCATTTTTAGATTTTTCTTGTTTGTTTTCAGTCTGATCTTCAGTCTAAAATATAATAAAAAATATTAAAAATGTAGTTCTTTTTTGACTTATTATGTTCACAACTATTTTAAATAAATATCATATATATTTTTCGTATATACAAAAAAATGAGTTGAGCAAGTAAATATGATAAACAACACATGTTTTTAGAATATTCAACCTATACACAGTTATTAAAAAAAATGTTACTCTTATGAGATGTGTTATTGATCAACAATTTTTCCAAATTATTTTGATTATATCTGATGAAGATAAATTATATTTATTAATAGGCATTTTTTTGACAAACTTTATATTAGTTATTTTCTAACTTATGTATCATAAAGCAATTATATACTGTCTGACTTTTATAAGTGTGCTGTGAAATTATTTTATATAGACTTACTGTTTGTCGGGAGGTTAAGTTGGCACTGCTTCTGTACATAGTAAAACAAAGTACTATGCCATGAAGTCAAAAAGGTTAGGATATACTGTCTTAAATTAAACATTTATTTAATATAAGTTGTTATTATCAGACCATAAAAATAAACATACATCAAGCATAATAACAATAGAACGATGTTGATAAAATTAAATTTTTAATTTGATTTTTATTTTACATAAAAAACTTTAAAAATAGCTTCAAACTAAGATTATTGATATATTAGGATGCTAATAAAAAAATATTTGAGTAGTTAACNTAATTTTGATATTGATATTAGATATTTTGATATTGGTAGATTTTTGTAGTAATTATTACCTTATCAGCATCAAATTTGCTAATAGACGCCATGAATTCAAGATGTTTATTTTGCTCATCTAATAATGCAACAGCTTGTTCTGATGCTTGCAATTTTTGTTGAGTGTTTGCCAATTCATCACGAAGCCATGCGTTTTCTTGACATAGCCTACGTACTTGAGTTCTTAACTTTTGTTTCTCCGCTTCAACATTTTGAAGGTGAGATGCTAATGCCAACATTACCTAAATATTATGATAATTTTAATTAATTTTTTAAAAGCACTTTAACAAAAGGATACTGTATGATTGTGTATTAAAAAAAAAAAAAAAAAAATGTACGTATATATAATTTTTATTTGAAAGAGCCTACATTTAAAAATTCAAATAACTATTATAGTACAGTTAAGTAACATATAATACAAAAGCAAGTTATTTTTGGTACCGAGATAACATATTTTAATTGAAAACCTAACACATGCCTATACACATTACTTTTTACCTAACTGGTTTCAGATTTTATACTCAAAATTTTAATATATAACAATTTATTTAACTTCTAAAAGTTAATTAGATTTTTCTAATCATCTGTTTCATGAATGTTTCACTATTTTGTATTGATTAGTAATAATAAATAGAAATAAATATTTTTTAGAATCTTTTACCTGAGCTTCTCCTAGACCTAATTCAGTCATATCCAATGTTTTTTGGAGCATCAATTGTTTTTCTTCTGGTTGGGTAAAATTTTGACCTGACGGATTATTGGACGCAATCAACTCATTTTTCAGAGCTTCTAATCCCTGAGCAACAGTTTTAATGCCAACCACCATTTCTTCTTGAGACATCACAGTCATTTTGACTATCTATTATTATGCCATATATACAATTAATTCAATGCTAACTTATAAGAAAAAATATAGCTGAAAAAATCTGAGTTAATTATTTACAAATAATTAATAATTTAATTATAATTTGTACCTACTTGGTTAGTCTTTACATAAAAGAATAAAATCAGACAACAATTTTTTTTTTTAAAATACACATGAGTATTTAAAAACTAGTATTCAAATTGTTAATGACAAACTATATGGATAACAGTTAAAATAATACTATAATAATAAAATACTCAACAACGTTCTAAAATAATGGAATCTTTCACAATATTCTTTACTTGATAGAAATTTGTCTGCTTAGGTAGATTATTTGATTGGTTGTGGGTTGGTGACATCACTTTACCACATATCTGGTAACCACGATTTCGATTTGTTTGAGAAGAATGTATCTTGGTAATGTTCACAAGTTGATAGCATATATTATAATACCAAATATTAATGTGATGTTTCCATCAGTACTATCAGATTTATTTGTTAGAGAAATACGAAGAAGTTATTTTCACTTTTCTCGTTTACCATGTTTCTTTTGTAAGAAAAAATGTTTTATAACTTTTTAATGAAACCCTTAAAAGTTGTATTTGGAAGTAATCAAATTAAAAATCGTACATTTAGTACTTGGTTTAGTGAGTTTTAGATAGGGATAGTATATAAATTATAATTATTGTAATTTATTGTTAATGTTAATAATAATAAATTAATACTCTCACTTATTATCAAATTGAAATAAAAGTACCAATCAATACGTTCTCATAATGATACAGGAGCATCATTAGTGTACTTGAAATTCTATGATATTTTTATTGTGTAAATCTAAAATGATTTCTCCCTTTATTAATACCTTTTAAATTCATCCAACCCTAGCGATCTCTGTGATATTTTTACAACCCAAAAAAAGTTTAGTTGAAAAACCTGATTAAACCGATGCTTTACAAAGCCCGAACATCAACACAACATGGCTTACAAAAGCCACCGAAGTATTATAAGTGTGTTCCTTTCAGATTAAAAGCTGATTCTTTATCATTTCTGAGAACCTTTTTTAAGTACACATTTCTAAATTTTGATACTATTTTAATAAGAATTCTTGAAGGGGGAGTAAAATGTCACTTTAAAATCTCTTACTAGTTATGTCACTAGACCTGAGAAAATCATATTAGCAGTCTAGACCTAAAATACTTTCTCATCGAAGCTGAAAAAAAATTATCTCTTCAAATATCCAGAAAAATGGTATATAATATAATATAAAAATATTTTTAGGCGAGGGAAAATGATAAAAATTCCAAAAATTCTGTTTAAATTCCGCCTAACAGTTTCATATCCAGGTGTGACTAAAATAGCTACACAGAGAAGTGGTCATTACCCCTTCCCTTTGATTAAAAAATGACTTAAAAATAAGATTACTAAATTTTTTTGTATATGAACTTTCCATTGAAAAATCTTAGGTATGCCACTGCTACTTATGCGGCTTATACACAAGTTGAATAACAATAAACCTAATTTTAAACTTTTTTAACTATAAAAATATAGTTTTAAATGTACTATTTAAATTTTCCATGTTAGACTTCATAATACGTTCACGCGTAATTACAAGAATTTTATTATTATTTTCGATCAATTCTGAAATAGGAGATTCATATTTTTCACCGTCTTCCACACTTAAAGTCCCGTATAATATCTTTTGTACTTGTTTAAATTTAAATTTTTTTAGCCTTCTAGTTTTGTCTATGATTTGCGAAGCCCACATGAATCAAAATTAAAGAAGTTTAAAGATTCAATCCTTTACTAAAACAAAATTTGAAAAATCATATTATAATTATCATTTTTAACATATTTTTTTCAATTAGCAAATAATAATATCGGATAAAATTTGTAAAAATATTATCATAAAGACAAATAATTAATCATAACAAAGTATTATTGAAAATAAATAACTTTAATTTGAAGATCGTCAAAGAATTGTCATTATCAAAAAATATTGGTAAATTTACAAAAGTTTCATCGTGCTACGAAGAATCGCAATAAAAATTGATACATAATATCGATAGTATCAAACGTACTGTTATCTACCGTATATTGGTGCCTTGGTTGTTGTTTGTCAAATCGCATCTCTTATTATGTTTTAAGATTTAGTTTTAAGTTATAACACGTTTTTTTCTTTAATGTGGCTAAGTGTTTTAAAATATAATATTTTTTGTTTTTATAATTGGATTCTTAAAAACATAATTGTAATAAAAAGTAAGTAAAAACTATGTGTTAAAATTCTGCTATCAGTTATTTTTTCTTATGATCGAAAGTAATTATTTATAAAATTTGAAGACATTGGGGAAGAGTAACATTCTCTTGTATAATAGTATACATACTTTTACAATTTTTCCATTCTTATTTAAATTTTTTACTTTGCATTAATACTTAAAAATCATTTTTTTTTTAAATCTAGAACTATTTGTTGCTCTCATACTTCTCTATTATGAGAAAATTTTTTCAGGTCTTTGCAAGTTCTTTTATTATCTATAACACAAATTCTGCCTTTGGTATTCCTGTTGCTATGTGGCCTTCAACATCTTCAATTATTTTCTTTAAAAAGCTTTCATCTCTTAAAATGTGTCCTATTATCTTATTTTTTTTGGACTGAATACATTTCCATAGTTTTCATTTTTATTTTATCTTATACCTTCTCATTTGTTATCCTCTCTGTCCACGATATCGTAAGCATTTTTCTGAAGCATCACGTCTCAAAGACTTCAAGACCATTTTTTTTCATTGATAATGTTTCACATTTAAAAAGTCCAACACTCCATGTATAACTTTTCAGGAATATCTTCTTTATCTCCAAGCTAACATTAGTAGTTAATATATAACTTTTGTCTTAAAAAGCTATTTGTCGCCTATGCTATCCTGCAGATTATAATTATTTTGCTCTGCCTATCCTCTGTTTTATTGCTTCCAAGATATATGAAATGTTGTATTTGACTTATTTGTTTATTTTCGATCTTAATATTGAGTTGGACAGAGTTAGTTTTACTGCATAACTTTTGTTTTCTTTTTGTTAAATTTCATTCCATAATTATTTTTTAATATTCCATGTAAGTAAGTCATTCTGCGTACAGTTATTCTAGGTATTCCTTCTATCTCTTTACCTATTACTCAGCTGTTAAAAGTATTTCACCCGTTTTACTTTATAGAGCATTCCCATTGAATATTCTTATGCTAAATAGTTTTTTCACAATCTCAAAAACCAAGTCACTTCTTCCTTTTTCCAATTCTTCATCTATTGGTACACTGGTTATCTCACCATTTTCCATTGGCTTCCCCTTTGCTTTACTTTGAATGATATTTCTAATTAGTTTGTAGTTTTATTGACTTTCTATATCCTTTTAAACTTTCTACTTTCATTTATTATTTCTACAATTTCTTATATAATTCAGGGCAAAGTTTTTCATTTCTTTTGTCTAGTCCATAATTTCTTACTATCTATCTGTCATTTTATTCTCCTACTATTAAAATTTTATACTTTGACCATGTCAAATCAATATTGTAAATGCTTCTATGCTCCTCCCATTTTTACTTGTTCTTGCTAAAACATGACTATTTATTTTAAACCAAGCTATTTAGTCTGTCAAATCTAACTTTGTTTTTATTTTATTCACATTAATAATTTAAAATTAAATGTTGTTAAGATGGAAAGAGGAAATCGAGGATCAAGAAGATCTAGAGGTCGACCATTCATCAGAGGTTATTATCGTGGAAGAACACGAGGTAGAAGTATACTTAGTAGTAGAACACCAGATCCTCGAGAAAAATTTGAAAGCTATGATGACAATGAAAAAAGTAGTACTCACGAAGAAAAATCATGGAGCTCGCCATCTGATAAACGTCATAAAACAAGAGAAAACTCTCGATCACCTTCCAAAGAGAATAACGATAATAACAATGAAAGAAATTCACCTTCAGAGAAAAAAGAATATTACTCTGATGCTAAGTATCATAAGCATTCATCAGATTATCCTTTTAGAGATCAAAGAAGACCATACCAAAACAATTATTGGGAAAGAAGTACTCGTGGAAGACCTTACTCTCCTCAAAGCCAATATCGAGTGAGACCTTATCACTCTCCTACTAGAAATTCAAGACGTTACTCTCGGACTCCTGAAAGACGCCGTTCACATAGTAGATACCGTTCACGCTCTCATACATCAAGTCGATACCGATCACATTCACGTTCAAAAAGTAGATCTAGGCGTCCATCTCCTTCAAAACATAGATCACCTAGAAGAAGATCTATATCAAGGCATCCGAAAACTTCAGATGAACACAACAAATTTTCAGATAAAAATAAAATCATTAGAAATACTTCCGATAATAGTAATGATTCTGATGACTTTGTTGAAAAATTAGAAGCTTCTAAAAATTCTAAAACTCCTAGGAGAATTGAATATTCAGGTAATGATGATGATGAGTATTGGATCGAAAGTGGTAAAAAAAATGAAAATATTCCTAAAGAACCAAAAACACCAGGGAGATCTAATTTTTCTTCTAGAGCTCCCAAAACTCCTGGTCGATTAGAACTTTCTGCTAAAGATGATGATAATTACTGGGAAAATTCACAGTCTTCTAAAAGTGCAAAGAAAACCCAATATTTAAATACTTGGGACGATTCTCCTATTCGAGAAGAACCTTTTTCAAAAGCACCAAAGACTCCTGGTAGAAAAGAATTTTCTTCTAAAGATAGTGATGACTACTGGACAAAATCTTCACCAAAAATTAAAGAATTATACTCAAAAAAAAACAAAAATCAAAATTTATCCTCTATATATGTACAAGATCTAGGTTCTTCTAATTCAGAATGTGATAATTCACCTAAACAATCTAGATCAATGTCAATAACAAATTCTGATAAAAGCGACACACCACTATCACTTACTGAAAAATCTAGCAAATCTACTAATCCTAGCAGTATATCACAAACATCTATTTCTAAAATATCTAAAAACATATCTGAATCACTTCCTCCAACAATAGGGTCCGAAAACTTGTTGGGTTATGGTTCTCACTGGACAGGAATGTCAAATACATCTGCTTCATATTTACCAACTGATAACTTTTCTCAACCTCAAGTAACACAGTTTACTGGATATCAACATCCAATAGTTGTAAGTTGCATAAAAACTATAATTGTTGATATTAATAGTAGAATTAAACATTTTTTTATTGGGTTTTTATGTTTAATTGTTTTCCTAAATCTGGTATTTGTATGAATTTTATGCTTAATTATATTTAAATATATTTAG